GAGAAGCAGGCTCCCTGCTGAGCAGGGAGCCTGATGCGGGGCTCGATCCCAGGACCCTGGCATCATGACCTGAGCTGAAGGCAGACGTTTAACCGACTGAGCCACCCAGGCGCCCCTGCTACTCTGCGATTTTGTAAACAGTCTAGTCCAAGGCCCTCATTTCTCAGATGGGAAATCAGAAGCCTGGATGGGGGAAGTACTTGCCCAGAGCCACACGTTCAGTAGGCAGCTCAAGTAGGATCTGTTTCTGGCTTGCTAATCTTCAAATTACAAATGCAGGTGTGACATCAAGTCCCCTGGCTAGGGATGATGGCACTCAAGTCTCCCGAGGGGAGAGGGGCTTTCACGGCACTTCCCCATGGTCCACATGCTGACTGCCCTGTCCTCCCCGGTGTGTACAGTCCCAGGAGCTGGGTATTACACAGCAGGTCCCAGGGCTGGGGGCTAAGTCCCCAAAGCTTGAGACCCTGAGGACCTACATGAGTACAGAAGTCCTTGATGTCCATCTCCTCATCAATGAAGTGTTGGAAGAATTCCGCGCGGTTCTTGATGAAGGCTGAGGTGAGCAGGCGCAAAAACTGCACGATTTGGTCCGAGGCGCTCTGGTCGTTGAACACCTTCAGCAGGCTGGACACTGACCCGTCCTTCTCTACCAGCTCTACCACACTGTAAAACTGCACCCCGCTGGGCTGTCAGTCGGGGGGCACAGGCAAGACCTACCCTCCCCCATGGGACTCTTTCCACAGGACCCTCCCCCACCATGTGTATTTCCATTTTGAAATCCTCAAATTGAGTTACCAAAATAAGTCAATCTGGGACCAAGCTAAGTAGAGGGTTAGAAATGCTCTGCAATGCATACCTTAGCCCAGAGTCCTGTCTAGGGAACGGCAGTTGGGTTTCCTCCCATCACTGTGGTTATTGGGATTCTTATCTATAGATTCAGAACTGAATCCTCCAACCCCACGCCCCCTTCACTAAGGGGATCAGGGTTGTAGGGTGGAGAGGGGACATCTGAAGGAGGCTGGGGGATGTTTCCAGCCTGAGAGCTACTGCCCCAAAGGAGGTGCCTCTTCCCTGTGGGAGGGCAGGGCCCTGGGCTCCTTGTCCCCACACAGAGGAAGCAGCTGTCCTTCCCCAGATGGGAGGAGCAAGGACATAACCGCAGAGCCACGGGCTGTGAGGGGGCTCCAGCCAGTGCCCATTCCTGCCTGCTCTGCCAGCATGGAAGGACCTGGACCCTCAGCTGTCCTGCCCAGGTTAACTTACAGCATTAAAGAAGTTTCGGAACTTGTGCTCCTCAAAACCAGCAGCCAGAAGGTCATTTGGGGTCTGCAGGACACGTTCTTTGAACCTAAAGGAGGTAGACTGATGGCTCATGGGGAAATGCTGATGGAGCACTGCTGTACAGTCAGTGTCCTCATGCTCTCACCCACTGCCCCCAACAACTGAGGAGGGGTGTGTCACTAACAGGTGACTGACTTCTGTCCTCCCCAGTGTGTACAATCCCAGGAAGGGGGTGTAACACCCATTTCACAGATTAGGAGACTGAGGTAGTCACCACCTACTCCCAGACATGTTGATTCTACCTTTCAAAGCTTTCTGAACTCTGTCCCTCCTTCCTGTCCCCATGGTTCTTGCCATATGACCACCATCTCTGGCCAGGGCCATGCCCAACCTTCCCGTGCTCCCAGTCCCTTCTCCACGGGGACCTCCGGAGTGACCCAGCACAGCCTTCTCCCTCAGGACACAGCTCCTCAGCACGAACATCTAAGGGAGGACCCCAGCCTAGCTCCCCAACCTCCTCTCCCTTCGCAGCCTCCCTCCCACCCCAGGGCCACTCCCCATTTGCATGTCACTCCTTAGCACCCTGTCCCATCAACCAGCGGCCTGTACCTACTCACAGGAGCTAATTGTTCAGTTTTCAAGATTTGACCAGCTGGGTATTAAACATAGCCACCACCTGAACTATACTCCAACAGAAAGATATATATCCAGAACTCAGTTTCCTAATTGTCTCTGCCCTTGAGGCTATGTCTGTCTGTCGTGTGTGGTGGTGGAGATGTGACTGGGCTGTGGGATGTTTATCTCTTCCCTGCTCCCTGCTCAGTGACCCCATGACGGTGGCTTGGAAACTAGTCCTGAAAGTATTTATACCCCGAAAGGGTTATACCACCACCAGTCAGACCCCCCTGCCCCACAGCCGTGAAGACTTCGTCAGCACCGGCCACCCTTTAAACCGGTGCAGTGGCGCTTGCTCTGCCAGTGCCGGCCCCTCTGTCTCTGCTCCCACTGCAGGCCCCTCACAGTATGGCCCCCTCCTGAGACCTGGAGCTCGGGGGGCATGGCGAGGAGCCCCAGCAGCAGAGATGAGCTACAGAAACAGCGACTGGCCCGTGGGGGGAGGGTAGCAGCCTGTGCAAGGAGGACCAAGTTGGGTGGGGGGCAGCTGGCACTGGCTGAGCTGTATTCCGTCCCCTGGGAAGGGAGGCTAGACTCCCAGTGGGACAGCAAGGGGGTTTTCACAGGGTCTAGAGGCTCGAGGGGGAGGCTCAGGTGCCTCGTTGTGGGGGAGGGGGCGGTGAGGGGCGTGTGTGTGTGTGTGTGTGTGTGTGTAACATTTAAACCAGGAAGGGGAGGTCTGTGCTGGCCACAGCTGTGGGGAACACGCTGTGCTGTTCAGCTGCTCTCGGGCTTTGGGCCCCCCTTGTCCTCCCTGGCCCTCCTGAACCTCAGCTGCATCTCCACACTGACTGCTCACCAATGACTGCTGACGCCCTGTACCAAGCACTGATGAGCGCCTCGCAGGCCCAGCCAACACCAGGCTGGGACTCCCACCCGACAAGGTGAGTGGGGGGACCGGGGGCGGCATTGGGACTTGGGCGACACTCTTGCTGCTTCACGCCAGCTTTAGTGTGACTTTGGGCAAGGCTCGTAACCTTCCTGAGGCTCGGGGCACTTGACTATAAGATGGAGTACCACCACCCTTGTACATCCCACTGCCTGGTGGGCACCCCTGCTGAAAGGCTCACAGATATTTTGGACTCAGTATCACCAAAATGGAGCTCCTAATCTTCCCCAGCCCCCCGCCTGCAACAAGTGGCTTTTCCATCCGGAGAACGCTCTGGCAACACACTGGGCAGTCATCCTGGACTCCCCTCAGCTTGCGCACCATACCCAGCCATGAGCGAGTCCTGTTGATGCCACCTCTACAGGAATCTGGAATCTAACCCATCCCCTCCACCTGCTCATGCTGCCGTTATCCTCTCCTCCCCCTGCTCGCCCCAGCATGCCCCTGCTGTGCCCTCCCACTCTGTCCTGTGGATAGCGGCCAGCAGGCCAGGCAGTGCTCTGCTCAGACCCTCAGGGGCTCCATCTCATTCAGGCGGAAATTCAGGGTCTTTATAGAGGCCCATGAGGCACCCCCCCCTTAGCTCCAACCCCTACTTAAAACTTCAGCACCACCCCCCACCCCCCTGTCCCCCGCCTCCTGCCCCTGTCCTGGACAACTTGGCTACCTTCCCCGTCTAGTTTTTTCCTACACTTGCCATCGGACACATCACATACAGCCTTTGCCCTCTAGCCTGCCTGCTCCACAGGCAGGGAGTTGTGCTCTTGTTCTCTGCTGCATCCCCATGGCCTACAACAGGGTCTGTATGTTGGTGTCCTGTGTGTTGGTGATGACTGCAGGGAGGGAGGGTGCCCTGGAAGGAGTGCAGGGGTGAAGCTAAACAGCATGCAGGGCTGGTACAGACATACATGGGCTGGGCTTTGTGAGCATCACCTTGCTGAGTCCTCACAACAGCACCCTGAGTATGCAGAATTACCCACCTTCAACTGATGTGGAAACCAAGGCTCAGAGAGGTGGAGTTAGTTGCCCAAAGTCAGCAACTAAGCAAGAGTGAGGTCTGGCTTCAGAGCCCTGGACCTTGGCATGGCACAACTCTGGGGGACACGAGTAGCAGCGGGGAAAAGCCCTGCACTGGACTGCACGGTCTCTACCCTACAGAGCTATGGGGAGATGGGGAAGGAGATAGGGGACTCTCCATCAAAAGGGACTCTGTCAGTTTGTTGTTCAGGAATGACTCGTTCCAAATAAGGAACACCTAGCCTAATTTTGATCCCTTTTGAGGGAATCTATATTATGAACAGGAGATGATGGTCTTAACCTAGCCATTCTCAGCCAGGGTTGACTTGTTCCCCGACCGAAGAGGTACCTGATGGAGTCTGGAGACATTTTTGATGCCATGACTTGGGGAGGAAGGTGCTCCAGGCATCTAGCGGGTAGATGTGAGGCATGCTACTAACCACCCTGTAATGTTGGGGGGGGGGGCTCATCACATCCCCTCAGGGCAGTGAGAGCTCCAAGATCAAGAAGCAGGTCTCTTAGCTCCTTGCTGCTCCAAGTGTGTTTTGAGACCCAGCACAGCGGGAGTGTCTCCCAGGAGTTGGGGAGAAACAGAAGCCTGACCTAGACCATTCTGAATCGGGACCACACTCAACAAGATCCAGGCAGTTTGAGCAAATGGTGACGCAAGAGAAGCCCTGACCAAAGCCTAGACACAAAGGCCTAAAGGGTCGCTCTAGGGAGCAGCTGCTGGACAGAGACCCTCCTCAGCATCAGGTCAAGACCCAGGCCTGACTAGGGAGATGCCTGGTTACACACATGCAAGAACAGGGGTGGCCGAAATTATTCAGAATGGGCAAAGCTTCATTTTCTTGGAGTGAGTCTTCAAAAAGGCAACCAATGCAACCCAGCTAGGCAGCTCAAGCCAGAGTGCCAGCACCCATGGGGTCACTGGTTCCATCCCAGACTGCCTGGCTGCCCCCACCCCCACCATGGCAGCTCACTCTTCAGGTTTGGCAAGCTCATGCCTAGGAAACCCTGTTAGGGAGACCCCAGGCCCCCGGGCCCACCCAGTGGTCCCTGGCACCCACTCACTTGAGGACCTCCCTGCTCTTCCCCAGCAGGGACTCCAGGTAGGAATAGCCCAAGGCCCGGTAGAAGCAGTTCCCATCCCCCTTGGTCTTGCGGATCGCGGTGAACCTTTTGCTGAGTTCCTGTGGGGCAGAAAAGGAAATGTGGACATCTGCACTACCATCACCCTTCGTGTCATGTCCTGTGGGAGCCAGGGCCCCACCTCCCCCAGGTAACATCTGCTGCCTCCTCTCAGAGCCTTCACAGTCTCCCAGCTACCCTTCATCATACAAACGTAAAACCGTGCTGAGCCTGTCCTGTGGCAGGCACCGAGTGATGAACGGGTCATGGTCCACCCTCAGGCAGCCCACAGTCTGGGGAAACGGATCGTTACATAACTAATAACAGGACAGGAGAAGCACGGGGCGGGGGGGGGGCTTGGAGCAGTGGCATCAGAAGTCTAAGAAGGCTTCTGGAGGAATAGCACTGAGAGGAGCAGAAGTGGTGTGCATGGTACAGGGGAGGCATGGGTGAGCAGAGGCCTTGAGGGGTGAGGTGGGGTGTGGCTGAGCAGCGGGCCAGGAGTTTGCAGAGTTGGTAGGAAAGACCTCCTCAGACATAACTAAGTGGTCTGGCCAGTCCTTCAAACATTTCTCAAAAGGTGTGGCCCTCCCCAGGCCACTCACCTCCAGCTCTGCTCTTAGCTGCCAATTTCCCTCTGAAATGCGCTCCAGTCTCCCTGGCTGCCTCATGGGGCTACAGTCAGGGTTTTGAAAGCAAAGCATGGCCTTCAAGGCGTCGGTGGGCGGGGGGGTCCCTGCTCCTATCACAGCATTGAGACAGACAGCTTGGAACTAATGGGGCCCACCTCAGCCATGGCAGCAGTGAAGGTCATGCTCCTTGGGAACCCCATCTCATCTCCTGAGAGTGTTGCAGGGTACATGAATCCCTGCGGCCTAGCCCGTGCTCCTGCCCCAGGAAGTGTTCCCTGGGGCTGCAGGAGACAGTCCTGCCAATGAGCAGAGAGAAGCAGAGGCATGCTGCCCGAGAGATAGAGAGCCCAGGCTCCTCCTCCTGCCCTGGTTCTGTGAGCTGTCCCTGCATCCTTCTGGTAAACTCCCCTTTTTGCAAAGCCCAGCTGGAGTGGCCATTCCCCGCTGAGAGATGCCCTAGTACTGTGGTTATGGATGCAGCTTATGAGATCAGGCTTCCTGGTCCAAATCCCAGCTTGTCCACTCACTAGCTGTAGGACTGTGGGCCTGCCATTTAGTATCTATGCCTCGGTTTCCTCAGCCGTAAAATGTGGATAATAAAAGTACTGACTTTGCAACACTGTAATGAGGTCTCAGTGAGTAAATAAAGCACCTAGGATAGCACCTAGCTTTAAAAAAATGTTTTTAAATTGATATATATATATATATATATCAACTAAAAAATTTCTCAGAGGCAAATGCCCAACATCAAAATATTCTGGGAGCCCTTTAATTTGCCCTGGAGCCTGGCCCCAATGCGAAGCTGTTCTTTCAGAATGGCACCTTTGACTCCAATCCCAGCTCCAGCACATTAGCTCTAAGATCCTCTCCCCCTGCAAACCTGTCTCACCTGGATTTTCCTCTGGTAAATCCTGTTTTCAGGATGATCCCGAAGAATTGATAGAATGTCACATTTTTCTGATATTAGGTTGAAAGATGTTTCACTCTGCAAGAAAAAGCAGAGCTGTGACAATTTCAAAGCAACTGACGGGTTTCCACCAAGTAGATCCATGACATAGGGAATGGTACCTTCCCACAAAAGGCACATTCCCAGTTATCTTGGATGTCAGTTCCCTGGACAGGGAGCCAGGGTCGGCCCCATCATGTAGGGGTGTCATCCTGTACCTTCTGAATGGATTCATTTTAGAGTATAACCCCTTGAACCTAGTGAGCCTTCATGCTGGAGTATGAGGTGTCTCTTTGTCTCCTGTCCTTCCTGTCTCACTCATTCATTCTTTTATTCGCCACCAATTCCTGAACATCCAGCCTGCACCAAGCATTGTGTAACAAGGGGAAGTAGAGGTTGGAACATCCGGCAGACGCACCACCTACCGGCGGAAGTCCATACTGCAGCCCAGCCGGAGTCCAGGTCAATTCCAACCCAGAGATCAGCTTCCTGTCCCAGAGGCAGGGCTCTGGAGGGCTGAGGAGAAATCCACAGGGAGCCGGTAATGGCAAGAGGCGGCTTTGGGCCAGGGAAAGTGCAGGAGATGTCTCTGTTCTAGTAGCCAACTCCCTGCCAGCCTCCTCTCTGCCTCAAGCTGTTCCCGCCCAGACTCTGCCTGGAGAAGTGGCAGATGCACCCCTGCCTCCAACCCATCCCTAGAGCAGCTCTGATTCCAGCGTGAAAATAATGTACGAGGAATTGGTATTAAAGTCACATGTCATTTAGTTTAAGAGAAGTGGCCCTGGTGCTTGCATATAACCCAAGGGGACCCGCACAGCTGTACGCTTGATGTTATTTGGGATTTTCGTGACTGGAAATCCAGTTTTCCATCCATTTATTACCATCATTTTGGACAGAGGTGTTGTCAGAGCTCACCACTTTTACTTTATGCCTCCTACCACACGGGCCTTTCCTGGGCAACCTCTCTGCCTCCTCACGGACTTGACAATGACCTCAACCCCATAGGGCTGAAGGCTTACAAGCCCCTTTCCACCTGGAAAAAATGTCTGGATTTTTGATGATTAGATTTTGCCAGAGCTCAGCACTGGAAGCAGAGAGCTGGGCCACAGGATCATACAACGAGCTGTGAGTGATTTCTGGGGCTACCCATCTCCACACTGGACAGACTCAAAACTTCTGACAATGAGCTGCTTTGACTGGGAAGGGACATTTCTGGCGGCCTGGATGCTCCCTGCCATCAAGGTCTCCAGAGCTACAGAGGCTTCCCTTGGCACAGGACAGCTTGTCACACTACCCGGGACCTTCCATTTACCTGATGCCCCAGGGCCCATCACAGGGCCTGGAACAGAGCTGGGGATGAGAGGTTTGTTAAACGAATAAAAGCCACTGCCTCCATGAAGCCTTCTGGCTTGCCCCACCTCATCCAAGTCAGGCTTGGGATCTCCCTTGAATTCACACTTCATTCCTTTTCTCCCTTTCTGGTGGCCTCAAACATGCCCTCTCCTGGATTGGGGTGGTGGTGGTCAGACCAACTTCCCAGAGGAAAACCTGAGTGGAGAGGGATGAATGTGTTGTCCCAAGAAGAACAGGAGGAAAAGGCTTTCTAAAAGAGAGAACAGGGCATGCAAATGCTTGGTGGGTGGGGGAAGAGACTCTGGGTTTTATTTCTGGAAGCTTCCATTCCATACCCACATTCTTTGCAAAATTAAGTTAGCCTCAGGCTCCTTCCTCCCTTCAGCTCAGACAGGGGCAGAGGAACCATCAGGAGTTGTGAAATAACCATGCTGGGGCGGACACTGTGGGCTGCTTTTCCGTCAGCCACTACCCATTTCTTCCCTACTAACGGGGCCCCTGTCTTACTCCAGGCAATGTGGTAGAAAATGTTTGGGCCAAGTCATGACAACCCTAACCTCTTCAATGATTTTTCTAGCCTTCCTTATATGTGTGGGCAGCCAGGTGATCAGGGCTGGTCAGCTGGGTCCATGACAAGTATTCTGGGGGGCTCGGGGAAGGCTTTTGGTTTTGGATAAAAGGAACAGAAATGGCACGTCCTATTCCTTCCTGCTTCTTCGTGCCTTCAGTGCAGATGCAATGTCTGCACTACAACAGCCATCCTGTGACCATGAGGCTGAAAGCCAATATGTGGAAAATGGTCGGATGATCTGCTATCCTAAGTCCAAGATGTAGAGAATAACAGATGCCATGATTGTGCACCTACTATGTGCCAAGCTCTGGGACAGAGGCTTACATATCCCCATTATCTCATTAATTCCCCACTAACAATTATACCCACTCCACTGACAAGGAGGTGATTTAATGCAGATCTGTCTGACTCTGAAACCCTTGGAAATTCTACCAAGCCAAACTGCTAGGCAAACAGAGCTCAGAGTCTAGCTCTTGAGGGAGCAAGGCTGCTAGACCCTAAAGGAACACTGTGTACAGGGCACGCTAGGGTCTCTGCACCATCAGGCCAGGTCCCAGCCTCCTGCCCCTTTGGCCCCAGCCAGGCAGACAGCCTAGCTCTTTACCCAGCTCAGTGCCTCCAGCAGTGTCCCCCAGTCTGAGGACACTCATCACAGAGGGAATAAGAGATGATTTACAGGTGATGTCCGGACATGATGTTAAAACACATCGGGACATCAGGAGGGAAAGTTATTCTCTTGTCAGTTTCCTTCAAAATTTCTAATCATGCCAACGAGAAAGTTGGTTTCCAACATACTTTTAACTCCTTCCCACTCTGCTAGTGTCTTTTGACCAGTGAGCAGGGAGCCTAAAAGTGTTCCATTTTCTTTAGGTAAGCTTTACACCTAACGTGGGACTTGAACTCATGACCCAGAGATCAAGTCACAGCTCTACCGACTGAGCCAGCCAGGAGCCCCAAAGGGTTCCATTTTCATTTGCAATTCAAATGTAAAACAAGCCAGCTTTGAGGGGCACCCGCGACCTTGATCTCTGGGTCACGGGTGCTGTGAAGCCTCCATTGGGTACAGAGCTTACTTAAAACCAAAAAGGGCGCCTGGGTGGCTCAGTTGGTTAAGCGACTGCCTTCGGCTCAGGTCATGATCCTGGAGTCCCGGGATCGAGTCCCGCATCGGGCTCCCTGCTCAGCAGTGAGTCGGCTTCTCCCTCTGACCCTCCCCTCTCTCATGCTCTGTCATTCTCTGTCTCAAAAAAATAAATAAAATTTAAAAAAATATATTTAAAAAAAACCCTCCCCCCAAAAAAGCCTGTTTTATTAACTTGGTTGGCATTTTTATGAGAAGTGAACGTGTTTGGATCTATTCTAAATCATGGAAGAGTTCCATTACTGGCATAGCAACTGTTGCTGTACGGTTCATCTTGCGCTCCTACTACTATGTGCTAATAAAGGACCCCGTAAGTTTCAGAATAAAAAATCCACTTCTGCGGTTTTGAGGGAAAAGCAAGGTGACCCTCAGGTATGTTTCAACACAGCCAGCATGCCCACCCTATGGCACCCTCTCACTCACTCTCACTTCATTCCAAAGTCCCATTACCCACCTCACTAACAAAAGGCTTGTTTTTACAGGCCGAGGACTTAAAATGTTGGCTCGGGTCTTTTTTTTTTTTTAAGATTTTATTTTATTTGACAGAAAGAGACAGCGAGAGAGGGAACACAAGCAGGGGGAGTGGGAGAGGGAGAAGCAGGCTTCCCGCGGAACAGGGAGCCCGATACGGGGCTCGATCCCAGGACCCTGAGATCATGACCTGAGCCGAAGGCAGATACTTAACCGACTGAGCCACCCAGGCGCCCCTCAGGCCTTTCTAAACATGGATTAAAAAGCACTACCAATGGTATCTAACGCTGCTTCTGCCTGGCCTGCCCCAAACAAACCCCAGGCAGACAACGGGCTGGGGGAGCCTGTAGTTGTATTCAGTCGTTTCTGAGAGGATAGTGATGGAGGCATGGAAAGGCGTTTAAGGAATTACTCTGAACTATGTAAGGATAAGTACTGAAGATGGTAGCAAAGGGCCATCAACGGTCAAAATGAGAATATTAGCAGTAGATCAGGGAAAGGGACACGCACCTTGGACCAGGAAAGCCGATCTAGATTTTCCACTTGCCATAATATAAACTTGGCCTGAGGGGCAAATTTCCTTAGGCTATTGAATTTAAAGGAAAAATATTGAATAGCGGTTCAGGGCACCTCTTGGCCACTGAGGGTGGAGCTCATCATACTCGGGGTTCGAGAGCCCCACTGTCAACACTGGCTTCTCCTTCATCCCTGTTCCCATGCACCCCCCCAGTAGGTAGTGCCTGTGGCACGTGTTTCGATAAGTACCTTTTTTATTGAGGGAAAGTATATATAAAATATACCCCCATAACCACTTTTAAGTTTACAGTTCCGTGGCATTTAATACACACATGATTGTGCAACTATCACCACCTTCCATCCCCAGAACTTTTTCATCATCCCCACCTGACCCTCTATCCATTAAACATTAATTCCCCATTCCCGCCTCCCCCCGCCCCAGCCCCTGCAGCCACCATCCGACCTTCTGTGAATCTGCCTATCCCAGGGACCTCATTTAAGTGGAATCTATTGGTCTTCTTAAAACTACAGAGTTGTTTTATGTATGCGTGTGTTTTAAATGTGCATACAGATATTGTGACCTTTTTATTTTGCTTCATTCGATACTATTTTCAGATTTACCCCTCCTGACAAATCGTTCCCCGGTGGTCCGCCTCCACCACAGGTGATGGAGCCTCGGGTTAGCTCCGGCGCCCCCTCGTGGTCACAGGTGGATTTATCGGGGCTCCGGGCCCCGGGGCTTTCCAGCATGGCCCAAGTCAGGTCCAGGAGGTCCCCGTCCCCCTCCCTTTTCCCCTCCCCAGCAGCATGGCCCTGGTCACAGCTCTGGGGAAAAACTAGAGTCTCAAATGCCAGGGAGAGCCTGGGCATAGCCTCAAATACTGGCCCATTATCTGGTACAATGCTTTCTGGGTTTGATGTTGGCTGACTCTAATTGGTGTTATTTTATTATATTCTAATCGTGGCTGAAATTTTCCAGGATGTTATGTTCAAAGCACAGGCCTGACAATGTTCCGTCAGACCTAATCAGGACACCTGAAAGGATCTCAGCCTTTAATTGCTGTTTTGCAGATACATATGCTAATTAGGTAGCTCGCAACTCTGCTTGGAAACAGCATTTAGCAGGTTAAGTTGAGGCCTATATATTTCAGAGTGAGCAAAGGACACTTCTTCCATCACTGGCTCTTCCCCAGCAATCCTGGGACCCAGCCCCATGCACTCGCAGGTGGGCTTGGCATTCAGAGCAGGTGTGAGTCCTCTGGGAGCGTGGCCTCGGTCTCCCTGGCCTTTTCCTCCCACAGCCTCCAGGGCCTGGGCAGAAATCCAAGCACCTACTGTGGCAAAGCTGATCCCAGCCCGAGGCCATACCCCCTCCAAATGCGGGGAGACTCAGGTTCCCCATTTTCCTCTGGTCTTTCCTCCAAAGCCTCTCTCTACAGACCGAAAACCTGGCCCCGTAGCCCTGAGCATTGCTCCACCAGCCTCAAACCAACTAAAAGCTGGGCTCACCCAGCTCTCCACCCACAGCCCAGTCCGTGCATCCAACCACTTTGGTTCAAAGCCCTGAGAGCTTCTGAAGATGCCTCCAAGAAGGGACAGGGAGTGGCCCCCCACCAGGGTGATGGGGGAGTTCGATCCCACAGCTCTGCATCCCTGCCCGAGGGAACCCCATGTACCTGGCGTTCGAGGATTTCCAGGTACCCCTGGGAGATGATGGGCTGGGCTGACACAGGCTGCAGGACAGGGAGGTGCAGAGCCAAAAGGAGTGGGCTCTGGCAGCTCAGTCCAACCGATCCTAAAGGCCTGTCTCATGAGATGACATGTGACCCCAAGCAAGATCCCTGCCCTCCCATGAGTTCTCAGTAGGCCCCTCTTGGAATAGGTACAGCTCAAGGCCTGAATTCAGTCTCCCTGGGCTTTCATGAGAAGCAAGACAGTAGGACAATAAAGCTCCAAAAGATCAGGGTCCTTGGTCCCTTCTGTTCACGGTGTACCCCAGGTCCTTGGGGCATTCCAGCAGCTGGTACCCAGCAGGTGCTCAGTGATCACTTGATGAATGAATGAAACCACCATTGCTGGGCATTCACTATGGCAGGTGCTGTAGATTATCTCATTTAAGGCTTGAAGTATGTGTTTTACAAATGGACATGGAGGCGTGGAGAGGTCAACCATCTGCCTGAGGTCACACAGTGAGGCAATCTTTGGTAGGGACTTGGACCCTGCTCACCCAGCACATCAAAAGTATTCAACAGGAAGCACCTGGGGGGCTTAGCTGAGTAAGCATCTGACTCGATCTCAGCTCAGGTCTTGATCTCAGGGCCGTGAGTTCAAGCCCCACACTGG